CACCGTTTCGCTCCCGGTCCCCACACACCACAGCACACACCACACACACCCAGCACAGCACACACCACACACACCCAGCACACACCCCAGCACAGCACAACCACACACACACCACACACACCCAGCACAGCACACACCACACACCCAGCACAGCACACACCACACACCCAGCACAGCACACACCACACACCCCAGCACACCACACACCACAGCACACCCCAGCACAGCACACACCCCACAGCCAGCACACCCCAGCACACCACAACAACCACCATTCGCAACTAAGTGGCGGTGACATCACCACGACGCTTGTGCCAGGCCATGTGCACCTTGAGGCCACGTGAAGTGTCGAACGCCCGCTGGCAGGAGGTCACGGGGCAGACCCAGGTGCCACGGGTCGACTGACTGAGATGACTGGCTGATGCACCACCTGTGCCCCCTACTGTGCTAACCTGCTGTGCTTTAGCCACCCGGCGCTCCGCTCGTTGTTGTGAGCGTTGCTCTTTCGCCCTCCGTTGTTGTTGGAGGGCGACTGCCTCCAACTGCCTAGTAGCGTCCTTCACGAGCCTCCTCCACAGAGGCCCATCTTGACACCGCTGGTACCAGTCATCGGCAAGTCCACTCAGCTCCAAGTCCTCCTGTACCACATCACTCCATCTCTTCTCTAGCCCGTGCCGTGCCCGTTTAGCCTAATCGATCCGGCTGAACAAAAGCTGTTTCGGCATGCGGTGGTTGGGCATGCGGGCTACATGACCCAGCCAATGCTGCCTTGCCTGTCGGAGGAGCTCGCCGATGGGACCTTGCCCAGATCTTTCAAGGATTTGTGAGCTCCTCATACAATACAACCTAGTTAAACCCAGGATGGATCGTAGGCAGGCTAGCCTAAATGTTTCTAACCGGCGAAGATGTTCCATTAAGGGGGTCCACGTTTCGCAAGCGTAGAGAAGGGAGGGAATGACCGTGGCCGAGAAGACCTGAAGCTTAGTGCGGAGCGACAGACCAGGTAGCTTCCACACAGCGTTACGCAACCGATGAAAATATATTGCCGTTCGACTGATTCGGAGTGAGACCTCTGCTGTTAAACTGGAGCCGGTCATAAGCACACTGCCCAGGTATGGTAAACTCTCCACTCTCTCCACAACTGCCCCATCACTGATTGGGAGTTGTGGGGGTGGAGTGTCCGATGGTACAAAATACCCAGGCAGGTGCTTAGTTTTGGTGGGGCTGATGGTAAGACCACATCTCTTAGTGGCACGCTCCAGTCTCAGCAGCAGCGTCTCCAACTCCTCTGAATGAGCAGCTATTACCAAATCATCGGCATACATAATGTGGTTGAGCAATAGGGAGCCATCCCTTGACCGCACCCAGGCATCAATCAGCCTCCCATTGTATCTGTACCAGATGGAAATTCCCCCGGTACAGCTATTGAAGGCTTCACGAACTACGTGGTCAAAATAGATGTTAAATAATGTGGGAGCCAGAGGACATCCCTGTCGCACCCCAAGGTGGAGGGAATGGCTCTGACTCCCGGCCAAGTAGTTTTACCCGGGCCCGCTCACCATCATGAAGGTCCTTAATGATCGTGAGCAGGGGGTCAGGGACTCCAAAAGCACGAAGAACAACCCAGAGCTCAGGCCTACTGATGGTATCATAGGCCTTGACCAGGTCAATAAAGCAGAGATGTAGGTCTTGCTGGAATTCCCTACACCTCTGCTGTAGCAGACGGACAGAAAATATGGCATCTGTGCAGGACCGCTCTTTCCTGAAACCGCATTGGGGCTCCACACGCCTCTCCTCAGCGTGCCTGGCAAGGCGAAGTTGAATAATCCTTGCCAGGACCTTTCCCGGCACACTGAGCAGTGAGATGCCCCTGTAGTTGTTACAGTCTGTGCGGTCCCCCTTCTTAAAGAGGGGGACCACCAGGGCATCCTTCCAATCCTGCAGAATCCGTCCAGTGGTCCAGACTGTTGTTATGATGTCATATAGGGCAGTCTGTGCACAAACACCACCCTCTTTCAGCATTTCGCTTGGGAGATCATCTCTGCCCGGTGCCTTTGCTGGTCTCAGATTCCGAATCGCCTTCAGTACTTACTCAACAGATGGCACCTCAGCCAGCCACTCACTTCCAATATTTGAGTCACCGCAGCCTCAGCAGGGTCATCCCCACTTTGTGCCATGATGTTTTCCTGGCTGAGGGGTTTCCCCTCCCCCAGGACCTCACAGAAATGCTCAGCAAATCTGCAAACCTGTTCCTGGGGGTCGGAGATTGGAACACCATTTTCCCCCCTAATGATGGTAATAGGTGTGGCGCTGCAGGTTACTTTTTTGATGGAGTTAAATAGAGATTTGTGATCGCGGGCCACTGAGGCAGACTCCATCTCCTCAGCAACCCGCGACCACCACCCATCCTTGCAGCGCCTCACGGCTCTCCGAACCTCCGAGCGAAGGCTGCGGTAAGCCTCCTCATTCTCTGACGTGGGATTCTGTAGCCGATGACAGTGGGCCTGTCGCTTTTTCTCAACTATCCTGAACACCTCCTCTGTCAGCCAGGGTCTCTGGGGAGGTCTGGACCGCGTACCCAAAGCAGCCATTGCAGCTGCATGAGTCACAGTCCTAAACCTCGCCCATTTACCCTCGACATCAGGAGGAGTGGGGGACGATGCCAACCCCAGCCGCAAGCGATGATGAAATTCTCGCTTGCAACTTTTATCAAATAACACCCCAGCACACCACACACCCCAGCACACCACACACCCCAGCACACCACACACACTCCAGCACACCACACACACCCCAGCACACCACACACACCCCAGCACACCACACACACACCCCACACTCCAGCACACCACACACTCCAGCACACAACACACCCCAGCACACAACACACATCCCAGCACACAACACACATCCCAGCACACAACACACATCCCAGCACACCACACACACCCCAGCACACCACACACCCCAGCACACACCACACACCCCAGCACACACCACACACCCCAGCACACACCACACACCCCAGCACACACCACACACCCCAGCACACACCACACACCCCAGCACACACCACACCCACCCCAGCACACCACACCCACCCCAGCACACCACACCCACCCCAGCACACCACACCCACCCCAGCACACCACACCCACCCCAGCACACCACACACCCCAGCACACCACACACCCCAGCACACCACACACCCCAGCACACCACATACCCCAGCACACCACACACCACAGCACACCACACACACCACAGCACACCACACACACCACAGCACACCACACACCCCAGCACACCACACACACCACAGCACACCACACACTCCAGCACACCACACACTCCAGCACACCACACACCCCAGCACACACCACAGCACACCACACACACCAGCACACCACACCCCACAGCACACCACACACCCCAGCACAGACCACACACCACAGCACAGACCACACACCACAGCACACCACACACACCACAGCACACCACACACCCCAGCACAGACCACACACCACAGCACACCACACACACCACAGCACACCACACACCCCAGCACACCACACACTCCAGCACACCACACACTCCAGCACACCACACACCCCAGCACAGACCACACACCCCAGCACACCACACACTACACACTACACACCACACACACCCCAGCATACACCGAAGACACCGCAAGCCCGGCGAGGCTGCGTCGTTCCCCCTCGGGCGACGAGAGAGGCCGTCAAGCCACCGGCGTGGCGGTTTTGACGACGGCGGAGCCGGTAACGGTGGCGAGTGTTTTGCGTGCGTACGTTGAACTTCTTTCGCACCGTACGTGGCCAACCGTGGCGAATCGGAGGCGCGAATGTGGCGACCGTCATCGTGACGGGTGGTGACGATGGCGAGTGTGGTGGTGGGGGTGCTGGTGAACTCAAACAAATATAAAGGGGAGACGGTCACGAAGACCGTATTCCCACGCACCCTCGACTAGCACGGTCGGATACGTACGGTGTGAAAGAAATTAAACGTACACGTATCTCTTCAAGGGGACCCGGGCAATGGGAACACGCAGCCTCGATCCCCAATCGCATCCACTCTCCCTCCGAGAGTTAGGATGTCGCGACGCGACTGCGTTACGAGGTGCACTCGCGTATCGACGGAAGAACATTCAGCTCCAGTCAAGAGGGTGTCGTTTGGTCTTGCGAAATCGCGACGCTGGGATGGCCGCAGCGAGAGAGAGGGAGCCGAGAGACAGACGAGAGAGAAACAGCCGAGAGAGAGAGAGAGACGAGACATAGCCGAGAGACGAGACATAGCCGAGAGACGAGAGAGACAGCCGAGAGAGAGATGAGAGAGACAGACGAGAGAGACAGCTGAGAGAGAGGGGGGGTCAGAGAGGGTGGTAGAGAGAGAGGGAAGGGGTAAGGAGAGCAGAGTGAGAAACCTTTTGTTAAATCTTTCTTTAAAAAAGGTGGGGGGGGGGTTACATAAAGCAAATCATTGGAAAAAAACCCAGAAAAAAACGAAATGATGAACGAAGCAAAGTGCCGACTACACCGAGCATCTTCTTGTTTCCTCTGATCGTAAAAAAAAAGAGAGAGGAGAGAGACGTGTGAGAGATCGGCATTGGGTCGACGTTGGACACAATTATGTGGGTTGGGGGTGGGGAGGAGATCGCGATATTGAAAATAAAACCATGGGCGAAGGGAAGAGAAGTCCGTTTCCACCGAGGGACGAGGGGTGAAAAACGCAGAAAGAATATCGCAGTCTCTCAAAAACCACGGACGCATCTCACTCGACGAACGCCGTCCGAACGCAGCAGGTTGGCGAGCAACAACGCAAAAAAAATCGCTAAAAATCCGCACGAGCGGCTCTCTGGGCGTTATCCCCAGCCACAAGAACCCTCCACCACAGGCGGAACCAGCAGCAGAGGAGATCGTGCGTAGAGAACGCGAGACCCGTGGTGGGGTGGGGGGGGGGAGTCCTCGTGCCTCGCTCACCTGCTCCCCGCAGAGCGCGGAGTGCCGCCCATGGAGACGGAGCGGTCGAGCGGAACCCGCGACGCTCGGGCCACGAGGACCGAGTGGAGTCTCTGGTGGTGGTCGACTGTGGTTTGTGACGGGTGGCTCAAGGGTCCAGCCGCCCGACTCTCCGAGTGACCGGCGGGGGGGGGGGGGGTGTAGAGGCGATTCGGTGCCGCGACTCGCACCACCTCGCTCCACCGGGCGACGATGCCAGGGGGCGCTGTGTGCGGCGCCAGGAGTCACCTCGCGCGATTTGCAATACTGCTCGCCTCGCTATTATGGTGATGATGGTGGTGGTGGTGCACGCAGGGCGTGGTCATGACCGAACAAGGGGCTCGTGGGCGGTCCTCGCGCGAATAAGGAGAAGGGGCGGTGGGGGGGGAGAAGGGGCGGTGGGGGGGGAGAAGGGGCGGTGGGGGGGGAGAAGGGGCGGTGGGGGGGGAGAAGGGGCGGTGGGGGGGGAGAAGGGGCGGTGATGGGGTGAGCTGTGGAAGAGGAATGGAGACCCGGCAATGAGACGTCGTTCCGTGGCAGAGGCGATCCCAATCGATGTAACTGCGGTCGATCCCATGAGCGAACTCGCGCGTGCCTAGCGCCGACATCGGGGAAGGGTGGCGGAGGGGGGGGCGACGGAGGATAGGGGGAGGGGTCTGGGGGACGAGAGGGGGAAGGTGGGGGGGCTCCACATTGGCACGCGTGTCTAGGCCGTCACCATACGGTGTCCTTGCTCTCCCTGCTCGTTCGCTCTCCCACGCCTACCCCCCCAACTTCCCCATTTTCTCCTCCACTTCTCCCTATACAGAACCCCACTCGCCCCCCCCCCTCCCGCGCTATCCTCAGGTTTTAATTTAGAAGTTGAATACGTTGAGCTGTGTGTGCGAGACAGCACTTGCCCCTTCGGTCTGTTAAGGCTATATGGGAGATCCTTGAAAGATCTGGACACCGTTCAATCGGTGAGCTGGGCCATGCCCAGCCACCCCGCATGCCCAAGCAGCTTCCGTTTTTTTCGGACAGAGGGGGGATACAACGGGAGAAGAACGGCGTGGAGAACAGATGGCGCGGATGCGATACAGAAGGAAGCTCCTGGGCAGTTGGACAAAGTCGCCCTCCGACAATAAAGGAGGGCAGAGAAGCGACGCTCACAATACCGAGGGGAGCGCCGGGCGGCTAAAGCGCAGCAAGGTGGCACGGTGGGGAGCACAGGTGGTGTCACAGGTGGTGTCAGTCATCTCGGTCAACCAATGGCACCTGGGTCCGTTCCGTGACCTTCCATCGAATCTTCCACACTACTCGTGGCCTCAAATTGCACCTGGCTGGCTGTACTTTGCCTGGCTAACGGCGATTGCTGTTTTCATTGGTTCCTCGCTCACAGTACCTGCACCTCCAGCATGTGGGCGGGCAGGGCACCTTTGTCTTTGTGTGGGACACGCTTCACTGGCCAGACGACACGCACGCAGGCTGTGCCGCTTCAATACCCGAGGTTCCGAAGGCTTCCCCCCCCCCCACACACAAGGGACTTTGTACAATCCAGAAACAATGAGAACATGACAGGGCATGTTGATGAGTCGATAGGAATGGGGGGGGGGTACGTTTGGGTCACGATTGAACGAATGAGTGCGTGAATGAGCGAGCCAGATAACATGTGATTGATTGAATTAATGAGCGTTGAATTGAAAAAGTGAGTCAGTAATTGCCGGACGGAGTGAACGAGCGGGTAAGTGAATGAGGGGGTGAGTAAGTAAATAAGTGAGCGAATTATGTTGATATAATTGGATGAACAAATATAGCAGAGTATACATTCAAACCAGACAATAACTGGACACACGTGTTAAAAAATATGCTCCGAAACACGTGGCGTAATATTTCATCTTGTTTTCTCTTTTCAACTGGGGCCTGCATAAGCGTATGCCTGGAGGGTTAGCTAGATGATGAATCCCAACGTAGCATTATCTATATAAATACCTTAATCATCTATGTATATACTGTATGTATGTTTCAAAAACCTCGCGGGTACTTCTCGACAAGGTAGAAAACTGAAATTTGGTACGTAGATCGCTTTCAGGAAACAAACAGGAAAACAATCTGAAGATCCGCGTTTTTGTCATTTTAAGGATCCCAAATCTAGATTTTAAGTGCCCCATAAACATGTCTGTGCCCTGTAATTCAGACACCGTTTAATGGAGCATTAAACAGCAAATACAATTTAAGCGAGAACCATTGTTCTATCTTTTTGCTTGAGATGTTTCAGATTAAAGCGAGTTTGAACGCAAAAATACGCATTTTATGGTGTTCAAATGTGAACAATTCGAAATCCGTAAAATATAAAAGCTTCCCCTCGAGAGTATTAAGGTAATGAATTAGTTTTTTTTTCTAATAACAAAAGAACGGAATATTTAAATGGAGTGGTTTCCGATGGGTACGTCTTTAAATACAAGAAGTGAAATAAAGTCAACAGGTTTTTTTTTGCGGAAAAATAACATTTTTTGGAGGAGTTGTTAAGTGTCTGATTCTAGATTCGAATTGTAAAAAGATCATATCAGGTTAATTATTATATTTATTGAAAAATGTTGCCTGGCTTTATAAACTAGTATATATAAACAAAGAAAAATATAATGTACGACTCCGTGTGTAATGGTTTTATTTAACGATGCCACCAAGGCTGTTAGTAGATGGCAAAGCTCAGTGTTACTGGGAACATGAATAAAAAAATTCGATCGTGGACCTTAACGCGATTATGCTGCGGCAAAACAACTCCAACGGCACCTTCACTATTGTTGCCTCCACCCACAAGCACTTCACAAATATCTCGGGGCGCGTCGCCTCGAAGCTGCGCTTTTCCTCTGCTGTCATCAACCACAAAATCGGGTTCGGCACCGAAAACAAAAAAAACGTTCGGTCCATCTCGTGTCATGTGATTTCTCCCTGCTCGCTTAGCCTTATCACCCACCATCATCATCATGATCATCATCATCATGAAAAAGTTATCCTCCACACCCTGACTCCGATGCTATTATTATCCCCATTGAGCCCAGACCGAGTCCGACCAAGGTCGTGCTATCATGCCCACCGTCACCGCTAAGAAAACACTGTAAACCGATGACAACTGCCCACAAGACGCCTTTATTGTTTTAAATTCTTCACAATCGCCGATCGGTCCACGGCCCCTAAGCCCATACACACAAGCGACCGACGACGATTCCTGTGCATGTGACGCGGGCAGCCTCCCCCGAGAAACGAGCCGCACCTGGGTGAGCAGGGCACCTGGTGAACAACGCGTTTGGTTGAACACCGCGCCTGGGTGAACTGTTCACTTGCCGAACATCGCGTCACACACAGCACACCGGGAGGACACCACACGTGGCGCACACCGCTCGTTCCCGTAACAATGCCGGGGCAGCCCTTTACATTCCAAAAAAACTCCCCCCCCCACCCCCGGCGAGAACGCAGTAAAAGCACGAGTGTGTAGATTTGGTTTGGGTTTCTCGCAAAAGTGGAGCGAGTGTCACAGAGCATGCGCGTGCCGTATGCATCTCCCCCCGCAACCCCCCCCCCCACAGCCCCCCCACTAAGCTGAAGGCAAGGGAACTGGAGCCCCCTTCCCACACCACATCACACCTGCCCACTCGGCATCCCGTGCCAAAGTCAACTCCTTTCGCTCATTATCAAGAGCAGCTGAAGGGCAACGCAAACAACGCGTGTTTATCCAACTTGGCACGGGGCTCTCGATCACGTGACGACGACGAGGACGGGCATGATAATCCCGTCACGATGGTGGGGTCTGGAGGCTACGGAAAGGGAGGGACCATCTGTGGAGCGTGGAGGCGTTGACCTCTGGACCCTGCGCAGCGCTGGAGTGGTGGAGCAAGGCGGCCACGCGACCCGCGGGCGTCGACAAAGTGGCTGCGGTGCCAACGCGCCGTGCCAATTCAGGCGCCGAGCCACCGCCATGTCGCTTGCTCGTGGTCGTTGTGGAGTTCTCCTGCCGAGCACCTCGTGATGGAGGCGAGCCTGGTCTCAAAGATGTGCGATGCATTGAGCCGCACGATGCATGGAGCCGCGCACCGATAGCTGGGGAGGTAGCGTGCGAAAATTCACCCCTTCGCCTGGATCAATAACCACATTGTGACTCACGGTCGCGATTCGATTCAAGAATCAACATTTTTTCTGACACTGCGGTGAAGGTCAGCACCTCCAGTGGCTGCAGGGTACGCGTGAACCAATTACAGTAAAACCTTGGATTGCGAGCATAATTCGTTCCGGAAACGTGTTTATAATCCAAAGCACTCGTATATCAAAGCGCTCGTATATCAGTTGTGATCAACTGATATACGGCAGACAAAGCGTATACGTACTAGTCTTGCAAAACACTCGCAGACCAAGTTACTCGCAATCCAAGGTTTTACTGTACTTACAACATATGCTAACAGCCCTTTGTCAATCCACTGCTGGGTGAAGACCTCCCAGCGCTGGGTCGGTCACATCGGCTGTTTGACCGTACTTCACCAAGCTGGTCTGTGCAGGTTAGTGAAGGGGGAGACTGGAGACCAATTCAGCTACAGCTGGCCACCGATGTTTGCCGTGGTCTGGAATTTAATTCAAGCTTCCGGTTTCATAGTGCCGTGCGCCAAGCACTGTACCGCCACTCCACCCGCACGTGAATTGAAAATTACCAATTGTTACACACGCCAATTTAAATCTATGTTATTTTACAAATCGATACCTTTATTGCTCCCTGTATGATAACGCCGATGTGAATGAAGGTGCACATTCCGGAGGAACCAGAATTCTGTACGTGGGAAACAATCAACAAGACCACACCAACACACATCCTTCTCTGGACACCCTATCAACCCCACTTGTACTCCCCTGTGGATGATCAACCACAGCCCACTGCTAGCAAAGCAGTGGGCTGTGGTTTCTTTAGGGGCCAAGTTGGTCAAGAGGCGATGGAACACGCGTTCAGCCGGGGGCTCGCCACGTGCCCAGACGCCCTTGTAAGGAGAGTTGCCGCAATATCCACTGTCACAACACGGTGTAATTCGATATCAATGTTCACGATATGATGATTCTCGCAAAATCAGTTTCCCACAGCTATCTTGGTGTCTCACCAAATGTATGGTCGTTGTTGTGTTTTGTGCATTGTGTTGACTGCCGGTGACGCAATGCGAGCCTGCCGTGTTGTCAATGGTGCAACTCTACGGCCTGCAACGCTTTGCAACGCTTTACAGTGCACGCACTGTCAATTAACACAAGGGCTCATGAGATCATTTCGACTGGGACTACGAAAGATTACGGTGTCATGTAACCACCATGGTGTCCAATTACCCCAGGAAACATTGAGTGAAAAGCCACTTCAATTATGGGAAAATAGCTATTTATTTAGGACGTTAATGATTGTGCGTTAGTTACTTCACTTTTTGTATAGATATAAAATCTGAAACGATTCTTACACAGGCCACGATAATCACAATACTTTACAAAACAGATTCTGCGATTATCGCGGAACTTGTATTTTATGATCGGGCTAAATTGTCGGTAATCTTCCCAAGACATCTAGTGTACACTCTCTAGGGCCTCCGCTAGGGGAGGGTCTTCCCGCTAGCAGTCGCATGGGGAAGACATTGTGGAACTGCACCTTTGCTCTCTGCCTTTACGTCGTATGACATACCATACCGCGGCAACTCTACAGGACAGAAAATCCCTGCAATGCGGTCTCCCAGGCTCGAGTAAAGTGCGCATGGAGCTCAGAGAGTTGCTCGAAGGAATGTGGCTCGGTGGGTTTGGTCAGCGCCGGCCACTTGAGGCCACCGACGCCGTCCGGCCTGTGCGTGGCGAGGAACGCGAAACGTTCGACGGTGGGAACCGCGCGCCAACGCGCATCTACAAGGCACGGGTTTACATCATCAACAAATGGGAAAAAGGGAAGCAAGTCAGGAGGTTTGGTCTGTCTTCAGCCGCCGCAAGCGAGATGCTCGTGACGTTACAAGCTGTCGTATCTCTGGGTCCCCGGCTGCGCCGGCGGGCCCGGTTCCTGTGGCTCCTGCTGCTGACGAGCGGAGCTGGAGCGCTGCCGTCTCCTCCGTGGCGCGGGCTTTGCCGCCGGCGCCGCCACATCGTCGGTGCAGCTCTGCGTAGCCGACGTGAGCAGGGAGCGCGGCCTCCGAGGCAGAGCCTCCTCCTCCTCTGCGGCGGCACCCTTAGCCGGGGATTCCTTCGGCACTTCTGGCACAGCGCAGGCATCCTCAGCCACTCTCGGCTCCGAAGAGAACGCGCCGGAACCGGCCCTTGGGTCGCCGGCGTTCGACACATTTCCAACTCTCGATGTTGCTCTCCGATCGCCAGGCATCGGAGTTTTTGACTCCGCAGAAGGGCTGCTGCAGAAAACAGTCTCCCCGCTGAATGCCAAGACGGAGTCCCCGGTTTGGGCGTGGAGGAAAGGCAAACGTGGCATTGTCTCGGCTGAGGTAGCCTCTTGGGTAAGAAGGTCACGGCTGGAGGTGCCGTCTTCGGCCCCGCCCGGAGATTTGTCGAGTGAGGGCGGTGACTTCTCGCTGTACCGGCCAGGGGCGTCCGTGTCACCCGTGTGCCACTCGCCCGGGCCACCAGGCCCACGGGGAGACACAGAGCGGCCCTCGTTTACGTCGCCGGCGCTGGCAGCGGGCTCGCCAGCGGTGGCGGAGGTCTCGCCGGCCCCGGAGACTGCGGCCCGCGCAGTGTCGGGAGAACACGAGCGCTCGTGGGGGGAGACAGCCTCACTGAGGCCGCAGATGCTCGCGTCTGCAATCGGCTGCCGAGCCGGCAAAACAGGGCGGTCCTGCGGAGCGCCGGCGTTAAACGGAGGCCGCACCGACTCCACGCAGGGCCGTTCCGGGGCGCCTGTGGATTCTTCCGCGGGCTCTGTGCGGGCGCCGGCTTGCGCCACCACTCTGGGATGCTCTTCTGCGACCGCCGCCAGGCTCTGCCGTTGGTCGTTTTCTGGCACGGCCGTGACGGGACTGCCGGCGCCGGCTTCCTCGACCGCAGTTGAGTCGAAACCGGCTGGAGCAGTGGGGCTAAGGGGAGAGCTCATTTTCTTCTGCAGCTCCTTGGCTTGCTTCCTCACCAGCCCGGCCTCCGCCAGTTGCAGGATGGAGGTCTGGTGCTGCATCTTCGGCCTAGAGGCCTTACCGTCGTCGTCGTCGCCGCCACCGTCGCCCCCGTCCTCGCCGCCGTCGCCGCCCCCGCTCTCTCCTCCGCTCAGCTTCTGGACCCTGCTGGCGACCGTCTGTGGTGCGACCTCCTGTGCCGCTCGCTCACCGCCGGGCAGCGCCGTGTCGCGCCCGCCGCCCTCCTCCTCGTTCTCCTCAGGGTACGGCGCCGACCCGGTGCCCGACCACCGGCCCGCGGTGCGCCGCACCAGCCCCGCCTGCTGCAGCTGCGCGATCGACTGCTGGTGGCGCAGTCCACGGTGCCGCCGCTCCGTCGCCACTGGCGACGGGTCAAACACATCCTCCTCATCCATGGTGGTCCGGAACGACGCGTCGCGAGAGGCGATCTCGGACAGCGAGAGGGGCCGGCGAATCTCGCCTGGCGCGCCGGACGATGGCACCCCGGTCGCGCCGTCGGGGCACCCGGACCGGCGCTCCATCAGCTCCGCCCGACGCCGCACCTGCCCGCACACCGGCTTCCACGACGTCTGCTTGGGGAACGAGCGGGAGGGCTGCTCCCCTTCGTCGCCAACCTCCTTGGACCGGTTCAGCGGCACGCGCCTGGCCACGGGTCTGAAGGCGCCGGCATACTGCGGCGTAACGCAACACAAAGCAATGCAGCAATGCAGCACAGCAACGCGACGGAGTACAATGTGGATTTGTATAGCATCTACACACAGACAGAAACACTGGTGAATAGTCATTTTATATCGAGAAAGAGGCAGGCAGCCCCGGGCGGAGGAAAAAACAAATCCTGAAGAAGACTCTTCTTCAGGATTTGCTTTTTCCTGCATTGGGATGTTTGGCCAGAGGAGACTGCATTGGGATGATTGGCCAGTTCCATGATTATCTGGATTCATGTGGGATGAAACCAGAGAACTTGGAGATATACCAGCATGTGGTGGAGCTGCAGTGTGGCGGAGCTGCGGTGCAGTGGAGCTAGGGTGCCACCGTACCTGTCCGGCTGCCCTCCTCTCCATCTCGGGCCGCAGCGGTGGCGACATGAGCTCCTCCTCCTCGGAGAGCGACCGCACGCGCTCCATCACCGCCAGGAAGTCGATGCGGCCGCGGTGCGTCTTCACCGCCATCGACGCCGTCTGGGGCTGCAGAGCGGCGTGCACCGGCGAGAACGGGCCCAGCACCGGCGTCTGCGGGGACAGGGGGGCGCGCGTCGGCCGCCAGCACCGCCAGAGGAGCGGGCCGAGCGCCGGGGGACCGCCGCGGCGGCGGGTCGCCGGCGGTTCCGGCGGCCGCGGCGTCGGCCGGCGCGGCGGAGGGATCGTCGCCCTCTGGTGCCGCCGGCGGAGACGGTCTGGGCTCCCAGCTCAGGATCTCCGCGGCCAGGTGGAAGTCGTCGTCGCTGCTGCTCTCCAGGGCGTCGCGCTCCATGTCCTCGATGTGGATCGTCGGCAGCTCGAAAGAGAAGGTGCGTTTCTGCGAGGCGGGCGGAGACGCGGGGTTGCCAAGTTTAGAAATTCTTGTCGCGAGATAAAGAGGCAATTTTTTTTTTAAGTTACCCCTAGCGACAACATTTCGCCAAAAATGACGAGCAACAAAACGAGCTACTTGCTGAAACGAGAACACGGTGCGGATTTAGCAGCGGTGCGGATTTAGCAGCGGTTTGTATTCAGGATCTTGTATCAGTTTACGCTGAATAATATGACAGCTTAATGTCCACCTCGCATCATCAAGGGATTTTTGAGGTGTATTTGCGCGACTTTCCACTTTAAGGAGTTGGTTGGTAGCACTGCTCACAGCCGAGCACTGCAAGCGGCACACGCTCACCCCCTGCTGTTCACAAACTGCACTGCATTTCCATTTCCCGATTCGCGCCCACAGCTGCCTCTTGCTGCTTAACATTAGACCCGTAAGATCAAAATGCGACATAGCCAATGACTCGTAATGCAACGTGTAGCGTAAATAATTCTACAAATCTGCCCGGGTTTCGCGAAGTCAGCACTCAAGTCACAATAATGCAATTCTGCCAGTTCAAATTCTGTTACGTCGTTGACTCGGCCTATAATTATTCTGGGGTTGATAAAACCAAATCAACAGAGGTTTTCTTAGCTTCCGCCATGTGAATGTGGAATTTCCACCACTGGTTCTGGAGCTGTACAAGGATATACGGGAGCCACCGCCACCACCACAAATCCGCCGCGTGGCTCCGTCTCTCCGTCTCCACGCTCACCCGCGACTCGGACAGCGACGGCGCCCTCCGCCGCTCCATCTCCAGGGACGTCGGCGTGCAGGGCTCGGAGGTCGGGAGGCCCGGGTCGAACCTGCCGCCGGCGAGCTCCGTGGGGGAGGCCGCGCACGGGTCCGAGTCGGTGCGGATGAGCTGGAAGGGCGTCACGTGGGGAGGACACACGTCCGGGGACCACGACTTGGGCCGCGGGGCCGGGGCGAGCGTCGCGGCGCCACCGCCCTCGGTGGCGAGGAGTTGCGGCGACGGCTGCCGGGGGCACGGAGCCGACTGCTGCTGCTGCTGTTGCTTGGCGGGGTGCTCGCCCTCCGGAGCCGGCGCCGCCTCGCCCACCTCCCCCTCGCCGTCAATCTCGATCGCGCCCTGGGTGAAGCTGCGGTCCATGTCCTTGTCGGTGGCGTGCTCCGAGATGTCTCCCTCCGAGTGGGAGCGCCACAGCTTGTTGTGCCTCTGTTTGCTGTGAACGGCGACGGGACACGGCCGTGCGGGCAGGGTGAGCCCTGCGCTTGGCCCGCCAGCGGTGCTGCGATCGCTCGCCCCGCCCCGGCCTTCCATCGATCGGCACAACTCGGGGGTTGCGATCGATTCAAGACGTTTTATCACCATTTGGTTTGCATCGTTTCTCCCTTTATCTCTTCTTTATACAATGTTGCCAATTAGCTGAAATGTTACATGAGCATATAATTTAGTATTCATTGTGAATCAGTTTACACACGAAACATTTTGATGCATGCATCAGTTTTAATCTATGAAGGGATACGTCATTAGGTGAGATTTTCGCTGACCTAAAATATTTGTTACGCGCTTTTATTTAACTGCGCTGTCTGTTGTCGTATCCTAAAATCTTGTAACTCAATTGTAACCCACTTCCCAATGGGGTATCGACTGCAAACTTGGTATACTCATGTCATACTGATGACAATACTATATTCTATCATTAAAAATAAAAAATATGTATATTTTTAAGCAATCTTTTTTATGTTATGTTTTGGCTTGGGTCTAATTGTCCACGCTCAACTGACGTTGGCTGTAAATCACCACGGCCCCTTACAGTGAGGGAAAAAAGTATTTGATCCCCTGCTGATTTTGTACGTTTGCCCACTGACAAAGAAATGATCAGTCTATAATTTTAATGGTAGGTTTATTTGAACAGTGAGAGACAGAATAACAAAAAAATCCAGAAAAACGCATGTCAAAAATGTCATAAATTATTTGCATTTTAATGAGGGAAATAAGTATTTGACCGCCTCTCAATCAGAAAGATTTCTGGCTCTCAGGTGTCTTTTATACAGGTAACGAGCTGAGATTAGGAGCACACTCTTAAAGGGAGTGCTCTTAATCTCTGCTTGTTACCTGTATAAAAGACACCTGTCCACAGAAGCAATCAATCAATCAGATTCCAAACTCTCCACCATGGCCAAGACCAAAGAGCTCTCCAAGGATGTCAGGGACAAGATTGTAGACCTACACCAGGCTGGAATGGGCTACAAGACCATTGCCAAGCAGCTTGGTGAGAAGGTGACAACAGTTGGTGTGATTATTCGCAAATGGAAGAAACACAAAAGAACTGTCAATCTCCCTCAGCCTGGGGCTCCATGCAAGATCTCACCTCGTGGAGTTGCAATGATCATGAGCACGGTGAGGAATCAGCCCAGAACTACACGGGAGGATCTTGTCAATGATCTCAAGGCAGCTGGGATCATAGTCACCAAGAAAACAATTGGTAACACACTACGCCGTGAAGGACTGAAATCCTGCGGCACCCGCAAGGTCCCCCTGCTCAAGAAAGCACATATACATGCCCGTCTGAAGTTTGCCAATGAACATCTGAATGATTCAGAGGACAACTGGGTGAATGTGTTGTGGTCAGATGAGACCAAAATGGAGCTCTTTGGCATCAACTCAACTCGCCGTGTTTGGAGGAGGAGGAATGCTGCCAGTCTCCAGACCTTAATCCCATAGAAAATCTGTGGAGGGAGCTGAAGATTCGAGTTGCCAAACGTCAGCCTCGAAACCTTAATGACTTGGAAAAGATCTGCAAAGAGGAGTGGGACAAAATCCCTCCTGAGATATGTGCAAACCTGGTGGCCAACTACAAGAAACGTCTGACCTCTGTGATTGCCAACAAGGGTTTTGCCACCAAGTACTAAGTCATGTTTTGCAGAGGGGTCAAATACTTATTTCCCTCATTAAAATGCAAATCAATTTATAACATTTTTGACATTCGTTTTTCTGGATTTTTTTGTTGTTATTCTGTCTCTCACTGTTCAAATAAACCTACCATTAAAATTATAGACTGATCATTTCTTTGTCAGTGGGCAAACGTACAAAATCAGCAGGGGATCAAATACTTTTTTCCCTCACTGTACGTTATGGCAAACTTTGCGGCCACTTCCTAGAGTCGTGGAGTTCTGCCATTACGAGTACGGTACATTTCATTAAAGTGTGTTTTTAAAAAAATGTATTTTTAAATATTATTTATTTCTATCCGTTTGCTCATTGTCGTTACCTCCATTATCCGTGCTGCCGACTCCCTGTCCCCTGTTGAACTCCAGGCTCACAACCTGCCTTTTTGCTTCTGCCTGCTACGGACTGCCTTTCTCTCTCTCTGTCAACAACATTCGCCTCCCGTTTCTGTTCAGCGTCTGAGATGCGATATAATTTAGATGCTTTATAAATCCACGCTGCATTGTATTGAGACTGGACTACCAGAGAACATCCGGGACTTGACTATCACAGAATATTAAAACACCGGGACTATCAGAACAGGCATCGAAATCTGGACCATCACAGGGCAGACATCCGCGACTGGACTATCAGTGAATCGACACCAGGCGGGACTACCGACGAATAAACCGGGAATGGACTATCAGAAGGCAGACATCTGAGACTGGATTAAAAAAAGGCTGACATCTGAGACTGGACTATCAGAACAGACATCTGACACTGGACTATCTCAGAACATCTGACACCTTACTATTCGTGGGCAAACATCTGGCACTGTTCCGCAGAAGCCTCATGGCCACACGCGGCACGAGGGTCCCCTGGTACCTGGCGTCCAGGATGCCCTGGTACTCCTCGAGCTGGCGCATGAACCCCGAGTTGGGCTTGACGACGCCGCGCCGCGACTTCACGTACGAGTAGGCGTGCTCCAGCGTCCAGCCGTACTCCTTCATGGCGTAGGCGATGACGGTGGAGGCCGAGCGGCTCACGCCCATCTTGCAGTGAACCAGGCACTTGGAGCCCTTGCTCCTGCGGGGGACGCAAGAATACGCACGCGAGGTCACGTCGGAAAGCCCCCCCCGGCACTTACGTGCTACGCCAGAGAAGGGCTGCGCGGTTCTGCGAGCTCCTCTCCTTCCAACCCCGCTCTTCCCCCTCTCTCACCTCCGAAGCTACACGAAAGCGATCGTAACCTTTTCTAAACGAGAGTGTTGTTTCAAGTCGTCTTTATTATCCAAAATGTAATGCCGATTGTGCCGTCAGCTTCATATTTTGAGACTAAGCGTTCATTCCGATCCCTCACAGAGCAGTGCAATCGTTGTTGGAGAATGGCCCGCAGAAGCAGACAATGCAGAGCGACTTCCGAGATGTTTTCCCGATTGTGCTGTCAGCCTCTTGCCTCGAGACTAAGAATCCACCCGGATAGCTCGCAAAACAATGCAGCCCTTCGTGAGAGACATCGGCCCAGGGAAGCAGATACAGTGAGGGAAAAAAGTATTTGATCCCCTGCTGATTTTGTACGTTTGCCCACTGACGAAGAAATGATCAGTCTATAATTTTAATGGTAGGTTCATTTGAACAGTGAGAGACAGAATAACAACAAAAAAATCCAGAAAAACGCATGTCAAAAATGTTATAAATTGATTTGCATTTTAATGAGGGAAATAAGTATTTGACCCCCTCTCAATCAGTAAGATTTCTGGCTCCCAGGTGTCTTTTATACAGGTAACGAGCTGAGATTAGGAGCACACTCTTAAAGGGAGTGCTCCTATTCTCAGCTTGTTACCTGTATAAAAGACACCTGTCCACAGAAGCAATCAATCAATCAGATTCTAAACTCTCCACCATGGCCAAGACCAAAGAGCTCTCCAAGGATGTCAGGGACAAGATTGTAGACCTACACAAGGCTGGAATGGGCTACAAGACCATTGCCAAGCAGCTTGGTGAGGTGACAACAGTTGGTGCGATTATTCGCAAATGGAAGAAACACGAAAGAACTGTCAATCTCCCTCAGCCTGGGGCTCCATGCGAGATCTCACCTCGTGGAGTTGCAATGGTCATGAGAACGGTGAGGAATCAGCCCAGAATTACACGGGAGAATCTTGTCAATGATCTCAATGCAGCTGGGACCATAGTCACCAAGAAAACAATTGGTAACACTACGCCGTGAAGGAGTGAAATCCTGCAGCGCCAGCAAGGTCCCCCTGCTCAAGAAAGCACATATACATGCCCGTCTGAAGTTTGCCAATGAACATCTGAATGATTCAGAGGACAACTGGGTGAAAGTGTTGTGGTCAGATGAGACCAAAATGGAGCTCTTTGGCATCAACTCACCTCGCCGTGTTTGGAGGAGGAGGAATGCTGCCTATGACCCCAAGAACACCATCCCCACACTCAAACATGGAGGTGGAAACTTTATGCTTTGGGGGTGTTTTTCTGCTAAGGGGACAGGACAACTTCACCGCATCAAAGGGACGATGGACGGGGCCATGCACCGTCAAATCTTGGGTGAGAACCTCCTTCCCTTAGCCAGGGCATTGAAAATGGGTCGTGGATGGGTATTCCAGCATGACAATGACCCAAAACACACGGCCAAGACAACAAAGGAGTGGCTCAAGAAGAAGCACATTAAGGTCCTGGAGTGGCCTAGCCAGTCTCCAGACTTAATCCCATAGAAAATCTGTGGAGGGAGCTAAAGGTTCGAGTTGCCAAACGTCAGCCTCGAAACCTTAATGACTTGGAGAAGATCTGCAAAGAGGAGTGGGACAAAATCCCTCCTGAGATGTGTGCAAACCTGGTGGCCATATACAAGAAACATCTGACCTCTGTGATTGCCAACAAGGGTTTTGCCACCAAGTACTAAGTCATGTTTTGCAGAGGGGTCAAATAATTATTTCCCTCACTAAAATTCAAATCAATTTATAACATTTTTGACATGCGTTTTTCTGGATTTTTTTGTTATTGTCTCTCACTGTTCAAATAAACCTACCATTAAAATTATAGACTGATACAATTTTGATTTAAAGCTTTCGTGACTGCAGTAATTCATATTTTTAGCTCTTTCGGTAAAGCCACGTTGAAGGGAAACAATAAAATAATAAAATATATATAAAACAATACAAATTATCCCGACGTTTCGACCATAACACAAACGGTCGTCATCAGGTGTTTGCATCAATTTATTATGATAATAATTTTATTTTGATATAATAAATTTATGCAAACACCTGATGATGACCGTTTGTGTTATGGTCGAAACGTCGGGAGAATTTGTATTGTTTTATATATATTTTATTATTTTATTGTTTCCCTTCAACGTGACTTTACCGAAAGAGCTAAGAATATAGACTGATAATTTATGTCAGTGGGCAAACGTACAAAATCAGCAGGGGATAAAACTTTTTTCCCCTCACTGTACTACCCAAGTACCTCAAAAAGCTCCCTTCAAGTGACCTCTGATTCACACGGTAGAGGTGGCAGCAATCTCCTATGCGCTCTGCATAGCAATTTTTAATACACTAGAATCTCGGCGGCCTAAGGCCACCTTATTCTAGCTCCTGCAGAGGGCTTCTCGGCGCTTCGCGCCTCGCCCATCACCCCCACCGATGCCCTCTTCTTCCTCCCCCCTCCCCCCAATGTATGTAGATACTACTGACTATTGTATGTAGTTGTGAGCAGAGGGCTGGAAGACAGAGAGCTGGAGGGGTCGTAGGAGCCGGCAAGGGCGTGCGGCTCACTTGGCGAGGGAGATGAAGTTGTAGGTCTCGTTCCAGTAGCTGCGCAGGTTCACCGAGTCCACGTCGTACACGCGCACGTTGCGGTACTCGAACGCGCCGGGGAAAAAGTTGTCGATTTCCCGCGTCACGTTCAGGATGTACCCAACACTTGAGAGCGAGAGAGATTGGGGAGTAAAACAGACAGACAGAAAGACAGGTGTAATTCAAAACAACAATAATAATACATGTCATCTTCTTATCAACTTTATTCCAAATCTGCTGTCGGTGTTGTGTCATGTGACAAACAATTCATTAAAAACTCTCGGAGGGCAGTTGAAGACTGCGTGATGGAGAAAGGACCACAGAAAGTGATGTGACAAAACTACTTCTGAGACGGCAAAAAGTGATCTATTATCCACAATAAGGGTGCCCCACTTTACCACAGGTCTTGTCATATGGATGTTCGTTGCATTGCAGTTAACCGGATATTTCATTCTCGGACCTGGAATTTTGTGCAGTCATTGGTGATGGTGCCGAGACCATCAACTCGCTACGCTTGAGAACGCGCTTCAATCACAGGTGGCTAAAACCCACGATTCAACGCAGGGTCTCAGCAGTGACAGCTCAGGGCCCTGATCCCAGAGCCACCGGCCACCTCAACCGAGTCTAATTAGAACCGATCGCAATCCCACACGTCCTGCCAACGGCGCACACAGCTGGACACGACCTCGAAATGTTGGCGTTTAAACCGGACGTCGTACGAGAGGCACGCACCCTCTCTTCTTCAGATCCTCGATGCTCGATGCGTTCCATTCAGACCCCTACGGCACGGCAGAACAGAGTGAACACCAAACATCAATGACGGCACAGCGACAACACTCAACAACGGCCAGCACAATGCCCTGAGCGCAAACAACGGGTTCTTCCACGGAACCGTTAAGACGCCCGTCAGCTACGCTTCCTGGCTTTGCCTGAACATGCCGACTCCTTCCTCTGCGCTTGTGGCAGTGAACTCAACGAAAAGCCTAATGCATGTCTCGGCAAAGAAGTGTAGCTCTCCGCCAAATGTATGCAGGAAATAAAAGATCATCGGCTAAGTTTCAAACCCCAGCTGCGGTAAAACACCAGACAGAGAACCGTGACGTCAGTACAGACGGCAGCACGGACACGCGGCGCACAAGGAGGCACCGTCGTCACCGCTCACCAGGTACACATGGTCGAAGATATGCGAGGGGCTGTCCATCTGGCCCAGGATGATGATCATCTCGTTGTCGATGTAGCCCTTGTACTCCTTGAGGTTACAACCCATCTGCGCCTCCAGCTTGTTACGAATCTGTGCACATTGCACAAACGCAGAGAGCGCACGCCCGCACGATTACACAACGCACGTGGTACACACAGAGTGCACACATACACGGGGCCCACACACACTTATCGAGTGCTAACATAGGCAGATCACACACACACAACAATAACCGCCATTCGCCACTAGGTGGCAGGCGACCACAGCGCTTGTGCCAGAACAAGTGTACTTTAAGGCCACGTGAAGTGTCGAACGCCCGCTGGCAGGACAGACCCAGATGCCATGGGTTATAAATCCACAACCCCTTATATCTCCTCGGTGGTGCCTGATGGTAACACTGTGGTGAGCAGTGCCATGGGGGGAGGACCAATTTCCATTGGCCATTCCCCTCATGGCGTTTGTAGCCACCACAGCGGCCAAAGGGGGCTCTGGACAGGTGCGAGGGATTGCTAACCACCCCCCCACCTTCAACATAAGTACCACTAAACTAGGTGATCACACACGCAATCACGCACAAGGCGCCCGCACCACGCAGAGTGCAAGCAGCTTCCGCTGACGGCGTCACACGCAACCGGACGGCTGCTGCTCCTGGGAGGCAGCAGCAACTCACGTTTACAAAGGTGAGGTCCTGCAACTGCTTCCTGGCGTCACTGTTGGTGGAAGGGCCTGCACTAGCCAGCTCTGGAGAACACCTCCAAATGTTACTTTGGCATACTCGTCCACGCTGGCGAGATGTTTTGGAAGAGTTGGGAGTTACCCACACTTTACCCCACCACACATGACCTGCCAATCGACTGTGGTATAAACATTTATACCGCTGGGCGGACAGAGCAGGAGGGAATTAAATAAAACTTTCCCCCATTGTTTCACCAGCCACGCCCGGTCGGAGCGGCGACCCCTGGATTTGCGAGTCCGGTACGCTGACCGTTTACAGGGCAGCGATGACGCCGAGCAGTTCTAGAACTGTGCGCGGCCGGACGCACTGCGAGGACAGCTCACTCAGTTCAGATCTTAAGCAACAAATCGAATTAACCTCGGCAGCATTCCGAAAATTGAACAACATCTGGAGAGCGAAATTCAATGTCAAGACCAAGCAAGATGGGTCTCTACGAGGGACATTCGCAATGCCAGGTCTGTCCTGAGGATCGGGATGCTGGACCCCGAGGAGAGAGGATGAACGAGAGGGGATAATATTGGCAGCAGAAATCAATAGCTGTACACAAGCAAGAGCAGGAGACTTTTGCACACAACATACAAAGCCGCAGGCTTCTATTGAGTGGACACAATCAGGAGGAACGGAGGGACATCTGGGGTCCCCCTTCCTGAACAGCCCCTTTCACCCCCATCCCCCCCACTCCCTTCCTGCCCTGAAGCTCAAGACCCCGGACAAGACACACCCCCACCCCCTCATCCAGCAGCTTAACAACACCAGTATTTCCCCCCCCACTCCCCACCCCCCCACGTTCCCCTCCTACCCCCCCACCCCAAGTTGTTTTTTTATCAATAAATGACCGGTCGACCCCCATCACGAACCGAGATGGAACGGAACGCACGTCGTGAGCTGGACCACGAACTCTGTTGACGCTAAATTCCCGTTCTGTCGATGTTCAAAAGGGGAAGAATCGAGTTGACATAAACAAAAATGAGATGGAGATAAACAAATTACCAGCGGTGGGCTTGCAGTGCCCCATGTGGATGGAGCAAGAAGCAGAGGCCGTCCACGCAAGAGGTGGGGGAAGAGGAGGCAGACTTAGAGAAACGCGTGGGTCTGGGGAAGCGACCGCCACACCAGAGAGAGCGACAAGAGGAGTAGAAGAGGTTAGTCCGGCTTCGTCGTGAGCCGCCATGCGACGACTGATGGTGGAGAAAATGAGATGACGGTCAGGGCATGTATCGATTCATCGATCACAAATCAATCTTTTCGCTCGTGGTACATGCGTCAATCCGCATGCGCGAGATTGATTATTGTTCATGCCAATCGCATGTAAAAAAAAAAAATCGGACAGAATTATATGGTCACGTCTCATTTGGGATAACGGAATCCGAAGAAACTTTCAGGAATAAAGGAAAGAATGAGATGCGATTATAAAAGTTTTATGTAAATATAACGGACTCTTGAATCGCGACGATTTGTCAAATCGGCGGGAGTGGAAAATCGTTAACAGGCGGAAGGGAACGTGCGCGGCGAATGCACCTGCTCCCCGCTAACTCTCTCCTCCCATCACATTCCTCTCGCAAGTTGCATGCGGAGGTATTTATTACAAAACGCTCGCATTTAAAACCTTTAAAGGACACGTAGTGGAATGCTCAGAATTCTCTAGGGTTGAGTGTTCCCAGAGCCTGCAGCAACGGGAGCTGCCAATCTGTCTCAGAACAAATGTTTTAAAAGCAGCCATGCATTTTTAATAAACTCGCGTCTCTCTGTTAGCCACTCGGCATTGGGAACAATCAATACGTCCGCACGCCAACTGTCGTCACAGGAGAAGCGTTTTCTTTCACGTCGCCCGCGCGGTATTTTGATCTCTCCCTTCTTTAATGTGTTTTTTTTTGCTCCAATTTCTATCTGGTTATATTTGCTCTGCTTCCTTTACGCTTTGATATTATGTTTTATTATTTTATTTTGTGCATGTCCTTTTGGTGGACCCAGATCACTCTTGCAAACGAGGCTATCCTGGTCTATTGAGTTCTCACCTCCTGGTTAAACAAAATAAACTCGATCTTAAGCAGGCTGGCATGCAGGTAGACAGCTGGGCTGTATGGCACATAGACTACTAGATATGCAAGGTAAGGCTCACTGAGCTATATAGCTCTTTTTCAGAAGCAACCTGGCCACAAGTGATTGCTCAACGAAGTGGCTTATCGTGTGGAAATGTATAGTAGCCAAATACTCGAAACGCATATTTATAAATGTGGAGGGAAAAACTGGAGGACCTGGAGAGAAATCCACGCAACCACGGGAAGAGAGACACACAACTCCAAATGTACAGCAGGCGTCAAGGTCGGGATAAAACCCACGACCTCCTGTATACCAAGCGAGGTTGTTAACATCTCGCCACCATGGCGCCCTCGATACAGTCTCCATGTCCAGCTTATCCAATGCGATGGCTTCCTTAACGCTGTGCGTAGTGCAGGACAGACACTCGAGAGGGTTTGAGTGACAATAGGAGAGGGGAGTAGGAGGAGAGAGGTTGGGAAACGGAGGATGGTGCTATTGGACGGGTAACCAATCACAGGCAGAGGGAAGGTCTTCAGCGTGGACTTGAGGAGAAACGAAGTGAGCAGTACAAATGTCTCGGAGGGAAAATATTCCGACACAAGGAGAAAAGAGACCTCCCACATTTCAGGCAGGGAGGCATACGGATGCGCAAGTAGGCGGGCCAACATCAGGGGACTGGGGAGCGACGCGGATTGTCAGCCGCACCTCTTTAGAGGTGACGCTCTCGAGGTCGCACTGGGCCATGATCTCGCGGAGTGTGGCCCGGATCTGCCGCTCCGTGCACACGCTCTCCGTGGGCCTGGGGTCATGCAGCAGCATCATCATCATCATCACACCACCGCGTCACACAACAACAGACACCGGTACATGACATTAAGCAGCAGTAATGTCACCATCATCATCACCATGAGCAACATCAGAGGTCATACCTACGATCACTATCGTTACCGCCATCACAATCATAATCATCAAATTATTATTATCCTCAACACCATCTTCAAGTAATCATCATCACCCTCATCATCGTGAGAGCTGATGTGGGTGCGAATCCTCACGTGTCCTGGAAGAGCGCTGGCGATTCTGGCCGCTGGGATTCGAGGTCGCACATGAAGTTCCACTCGTTGAGGCAGCTCTGCTCGGAGGCCACCTTGCGTGCGTAGGAGGCGAGCCAGCGTGCGTAGCGGCTGCCGGACTGGTAGTGCCGCTGGCGCGCCTGCTCGCACGCCTTGTACAGGCACTGCAGGGCGGACCTAGGGCGCGGACCGAGTCACGCGGAGACAGCAGACGCTCGACCGGAGCGTGCCGTGTGCAATGCCACTGCTTCACCAATGCGACTCAGTTTATACGTCGACTACACACACAGACCGCACGTAAAGTGCCGTCATATGAAGACAATTAACATCCTTACCACATGGCCTGGACAGACACGGGCTTGAAGATGTGGGTCCGGTCTGACGTGGTCACGCTGAAGCCGCTGCAACGATGAGGACAACTCAAAATCAAGTACAAGTACATCGAGGGTAGATTTATGCCGAAGGTTTGAGCATGCGAGCGAGCCAGGGGGTGCGCAGCGGTCTCTTTACACACGAACACACGCGGACACGAGCGCTCACCCGTCTCCGTCAAGGTGGATCATGGTGTCGCTCAGCAAGGGCAGGACCAGGCCGATGGTGCAATTGGCACTGCGGGCACAACCCACGCGCGGTTACAGTCAGCCGGGCCCGCGTGATGCCGCCACCAACAGGAAGACGTGCGTCGCTCGGAGGTGCCAACTGCCTGCACTGTGGTCATCGCTGACCACAAACCCAAAACCCGTGTTTAATGTGGCCCACAGCTCAACACTAACGCTCACGCTGACCTCGTCTGGTTAGTTTCAAGCCGCATTTGATAGCCAAAGCCCTACGTTTGACCCGAGCTCAGACTCAACGCGAACGCTATCCCTGGCCCTGGCCCCGGCGGCCCTGACTGTGTCCGGGCAGCCGCCACCGCACCTGTCCTTGTCGCGGAAGTCCAGGCCCATGATGAAGCCTTCCTCCATGCTGCGGCTCCCGTGAGTTGACACGAGCGTCATGTAACGCACGCGCGTCGGGTGGACGCTCTCCAGGTGTGCCGCCTACGGCACACACACGCAACACAAGCAGCGCACGCGCGTCCAGTAGGCGCAGCACGGCGGTGCACAATACATGCACCGTATAGCATACACGCAGCATTTACAATACGCACGATGCAATACACACACCACTCACGATGCCCCCGTAAAACACATACACAACACGCGTATAGAATGTGCGCACAATACATACGTTGCATAGAATTTACACGTGCAACGTATACAACACACATGTGCACAAACGCAATACGTATAGGAGACACAATTTACACCACAGAGAAGACACACAGGCCATGATCAGATCACCCGGAATGTGGCCGAAGCAAGTTTGAGCCTGGATAGTGCTTGGATAGGCCACTCCCTTGCACACCAGGTGCCTAATACTGCTGCGGAGATACGTTATCAGCAGAGGATAGTGTAGCAAATCACATTGCTGTACTGCACCGTGCTCCAAAGTTTATGCTCCCTGCCTTCATCAACCTACACTGACCAGCGTGGTGAAGCATGGTCAAAGCATGTCCACTACCTGCCAAACATGAGTAGGCCCTCATCCAGCAGTGGATTGACAAAAGGGCTGTACACGTACAATATACGTACACACAAACACCACGTACACCACACAAGCTGCTGATACACAACACACAATCGCACATGGTCCTCGCCAAACACAGCACGCACGACATGCACAACATACGCATCACAAAACGCATGCCAACACAACAGACGATGATGCGTACAACGCGGTAGTCTGACTGTCTCAAATCTAATTCCCACTATTGTTGTTTAAGTTCACTGCTGGCATTACTGGTATTACTGCAGTGAAGGGGCAGGATGTGAGCTGGGCGAGGCTCTGTCATTGCCCTAGGTTCACACAGAGAGTGAGTGAGTGAGTCGGCTTCCAATATTCTACTCGCTCAGGAACCTGTAAAACCACCACAACCAAACGGTCAGACGTTGCCCAATATTTAAAGCACTGAAACCTTGAGAATTAAGTTGCAAAACAAAGTGAGATTAACACGCGGTGTGTAAGGAGGAACCCAAGAGAGGATTTTGAATTAAATTTAGGGAAGTTAGATATTTTACACATTTTATTTAGATTGTGCCATCAGCAATGTGGCGAGAAGCAGTTACCATTTGGGAACTTAAGCAAGGCCTTGCGCGTCGTTCCGAGTTCGCTATGCATAACTTGCAACCCAGGATTGACCTTGCAAACGAGTTGTTTCCATCTAAAGAGATTATCCAGATGAAATATTTTTTAAAAATTTAAATAGAACCTTGTGCTAGGGAACTGTATATGCGGAGGTGACCTTTTTATCGATACGAGGAGGATAACACTTCCAGATAAACGCCAAGCAAAAATATTTGTCACATGGAAGTCAAATTAATTGTGCTAAATTGAAAAACCAAATGCAATGGGTTTTATTTTTGTTGTTGTCTGCCATTGGTGACTGGGCAAGGACCATTAACTCACTGGACTAGTGAACCCCCTTTAACCACGGGTGGCGGCTTCCTGAATTCGAACCCAGCTTCTCAGCAATGCCAGCTCAGCGCTCTGACATGAGCAACACATGCATGTGCGCCTTCCCCGACACATCCGTGCCAACACGCGTTTCACACGCCGAGGATGGAGTGCGAGTGCCGGAGCCACTGCCGACAGCCAAAACCGCGATCCCTTGCTCAGCTATCGCGGCTTTTGCCAGCATCTCAACCAGAACGTTTGTCAAATGTCTGGCTCGGAATGAAATTGCGTCTCAGCAGCTCAAGGTGCGGGTTTGGGGGGGGGGGGGAGCGGGGAGGGGAGGGGCGAGGCGGGGGGTGCTCTGCCAGCCCTTGCTCACCAGCATGATGGTGTCCTCTGGCCGCATGTGGCTAAACATCGCCTGCAGGTGCTGCTGCAAATGTTCTGGAAGAGACACGAATCGGCAGGCAGAGTGATTAATAAATTTAATATGTGGGCTTTCTCGACCAATTTCATCCGTAACAGGTTTTTTTAGTTAGATCGCGTAAATATGTCGTTAATCCCGCGACCACCCAATCATTTGTTTACGTAAAAAAACTTACTAATTGGCTGTCAGGTGGTGGCAGGTTTAACGACACATTCATATTTACGCAATCGAACCCAAAAACCTCTACTATGGAGTGATTAATCCATTGAATGATTGTCATAACACTTGCATGGAATCGCGCTTTAAAAAAAGACACCGACTCTTTACCCTTAATACAGAAAAAGACACGGCCATAATAAACCTGACATGGCCATTATGAACATTGCCACAGCTATTATAAACCTGAGGGCCACTATGCACCTGACACTGCCATTATGAACTTGATACATATTTGGAACACCTCAAGATGGAAATACACAGATCTCTAAGGTTTACAACACCACTATTTACGAATTTGACACAGTCGTGTTGAAATGCCCCAACACAGAGACACTCAGACCCTTTTCAGAGGTTTATAATGAATTAGCCATTATCAACCTATTAAAAGGAACACTCGAATCTCAGGGCCCTGAAATATTTCAGATTACAATCCACAACACATAAATATTTAAACGGAGTTTGGTTGAACGTTAGGGGGGCGGTAGTAAAAATGGGGAGCGAGCAGAGTGTGGAGGCGTCAACAGCATTCCCACCTGCATCCTTGTGGCAGCGCAGGGAGAACTGGTGTCCCACCGAGCTGTTCCCGCCAGGGATAAACAGTGCCGCTCCCTTGACAGTCAGGAAGCTGTCGCTAAAGTTTCTGCGGAAGAAAACGGTGAAAACTCAACCAACCCCCGAGGCGCGGCGCATGCCCCGTCTGCTGGTCCCATCGCTACCGTGTCACTTGCCCCAGATGTCCCTTCACCGGCAGGGAGGTTTTGTACATCGTAAGCACTCTGCCGCTACCGCAGCGCACTGCAGACACGTCCCCGCTGCTCCCGACCTGCCTTGCCTCGGGGTGCCGTGTCGGCTGGGAGGGATGAAAGCTGGCCTCCTCGTCGGTCAAGGGGAAGGAGGTTTACCGCCTCTCTGTGCCTCCGAGCAAATCACCCTGAATGTGCTCAGCCTCGTAAAGACCTTGGCCACTGAGCAGAATTAAAAATGCATTACACGTGGACAGGAGACTACATGGGAACACCAGCTGTTGTAGGCTTGAACTGCGACGTGGCCAGGAGATCGCAGAATGGCAATGGTTCACACCTTTGATAGTTGGTCCCTCGTACGTGTGGGCTTCACCCGGGGGACCCTGGTGTTCTCCCACAAGCCAGAAACGCATTCAATGGAATTGGCCAAACATCCCAATGCAGGACTCTCCAGCAGAAGAACCTTGGGACTCGGTGAGACTTTGCAAGGCCAAATGAAGGGTGCAATTATTATTGTAAACCTGTGGCATTGCCTGTTTAGGTCACAAGGGATCGTTTCATCCATTACATTGATTCATACGCCTGGGATATACGCATCGAAACGTGCGCATAAGGTCCGCTTTCATTTTCAAGTTTATCATCACAAGACCACGAGAGATGGCGGCTTGGGAAATCCTTCATCCAGCAGTGGATAGACCATGACGGCTGCTGCTGATGATGTCGCATGCAATTAGTTCATACAAACCTTGCACCGACAAGAGGCACTGCATTGGCCGTAACGGCAAAATCTGCCCGATCCTTGAAACGCACGCAAGCCGATATCGCGGCAGAGTGGACTCTCAGGGGACGCGAGTGATTACACGCCTAATCTACAGTGCACCACAACAAGGAGGCTGGCACTCGGCATAAGAAACATTCCGGAACAGATCCCGCGGCTCCCAAACCTGTGGGCCGTGGGAAGTGGTCTGCGAAGCTTTCACAGACGCTACAATTCTATTCACAAAACCCTGTGCAGCAATCGTGCACGCGGCCTTTTAATTGACACTTCGCAGCGGTGCGTATAGAGCTGTTTTAATTTAGAGAAATATATTATTGGCGCGCAATGCGGTCCGCGAAACAATGTCAACGGTTGACAGTGGCCTGCGGACCCAGATAGATTGGGAACCACGGGGTTAGATGATGTCGCTGACGAGTTAGAGACGGGGAGAAGACTTGCAAAGTATACGGCTGCGCAGATTGCGGACGCCACGCAGAGGCGAGTTTAACGCTGCAACAGAGACTTACGTCTTTCGGTCTTCGTCTTCTCTCTCCGCCTCCTGCAGAAGGCACCAGACATGGGGGTGAGTGGACACGTGTCCCGTGGGACTCGCGCAACATGCGCACACGCGTGATCGCGCACACACACGCGAATGTACAAATACTGTACACGCATTCCTCATTAAGCCTTCAACAGACTGTATACTACATGCGCAGAGCACACAGATTTTGTACAGCTGTTTGAAATGCAGTTGTGTTGAGATGCTATATAAATCGAAATTATTGTTGCTGGTGCAAGTGCTGTTAGCGAGTGCCTATTAAAGGCGATACGATGACTGAGGTGGTGGTGGTGGGGCAGTACCACGCCAGGCCGCCTTCATCTTTCCAGTGCTAATTATTCACACACCGCACCAGGTACTCATTTAAACTGTCGACATAGCAGAGGCCGAGGATCCATTCAGATATACGCCACTGTTGGCTGTGAGTGGGAATCAATCCCAAGATGGCTGGGTTCGTGGTGTAGTGCGATAACCGCTGCACACACACGTGCGCGCACATACACACCCTCACATCATCCAACACCAGCTACATTCCCCAGAATGGGCTCGGCAGCCAACACACTGCCCTCAACGCTGCATTCTGCATTTTTTTAAACTACAGATCCACGTTAAAATCTTGATCATCGGTCAAATGCTTCAGGGAAATATGCAGCAAGCAATAATTAACATTGCGGTCCTTTTTAGAGGACACTCAAAGTACAGTTTTCCAGTGAAGCGAACAATAACAAAGCAGCTTGTTTACATTGAAATTGGCACGCAGACGGTCCCTGTGAAAGTCATGAACGTTGTCGGGAGACAGAGAGGGGGGGGCCGTGAAGACATTCATAGAATGCACGTATTGAGAACCCCCGCATCATCACAACACATCACTCAACAGCCCTCTGTGAATCCACTGATGGGTCAAGGCCTCCCCCACGTACTGCCCCCATCACAGAGGCTGTTGGTGAAGTGGGGGAGGTCCAACCAGCACCGGTCCAAACATCGCTCGCCACCGACGTTAACTGCGGTCAATCGAACTCTGACCCCGCTGGGGATGGTACCGCGAACACGCGAGCCACCGCTCCATCACGGCACTCGTCCCACGCCAATGAATCAACGGGCAGCGTGTTGTCACACGAGTCAAGACCAGGCAGCTGTGGGCCCAGCGGGAAGAGATGCAGCAACTCGTGTGCGCACCGCCCACTTGAACACCAAAGGAATTTGTGCCCCAACAACCAGCCGCTCTCTTATCTTACTTTCAGGAGTGTTTACGGGGCTGCACGCCGCGGGGTCGTGTGGCACGCTGTCCAAAGTGTCGCTCCACGTGCTTGGAGCTTCTTCAGCACATGGAGCGAAACGTCGGACATCGTGCCGAGCAACAGGCGGCACCGCCCAGATAACGCATTCGACAGCTAAAGTCTACACACAGTCAAGGAATCCGCTGTTTAAATAGCTCTCATCTTGTAGCTGCATGCTAGCGGTGTAACAATTGCCAACCCTCGCGATCCAATGAACGGCGTGATTCCTCTTTGGTTCTTTCGGTAAAGTTACGTGGAAATAAAATAAATAAAATAATAGAATACGACGTTTCGATTGCAACACAAGCAGTAGTCATCAGGTAGAACTAAATTTGAGAGAGAGACAAAACACAGACACGGAGGAACACAGACAGACACACAAGCAGAGAGAGACAACACAGAGACAAAGATCCCCCATATAACCTTAACAGACTATAGGGGCAAGTACTGTTAGCGAGCACCTATAAAGGCCGGCACGGCACACGAGGGGGTGGGTGGCCAACACCACACCCGGCCGCCGTTGTCTCCCTAGTGGCGATGTTTACACATCGCACCAGGTCCTCATTTGAGGCTGAGTCGACCTAGGGGAGGGCCCAGGGCCGGTTCAAATAATCGTTACTGATGTTGGCCGTGAGCGGGAATCGAACCCGGATCGCCAGGTTTGTAGCGCAGCGCGCTAACTGCTACACTACCGAATAAATTCCTTCCTTTACGATTTGGTGAATGTAGCGGCCTCTAGTGACTAGAGGGGAACAGGTGAACCACATACAACATAGATAAATCGATGGCTATACGTGTGATTAATTGCACACATTGTGAGCCTATTCATCAAGAGAAGAGATGTATCCATGCACCCAAACTCACACCTACGTTACATGCCCTGGGCTGTTCTACATGAGTTTTAAACTTTATTAACAAGGAAATAAAAAAATGTCAAGTGATGGCAAGAAATGCCGCCACAGTGACATAATTCATTTGATGTGGTCTTCATCTCACCAACAAAGCTTCAAGGTGATGTGTGTTGCAGCCAGGGACACACAGTCTAGCCGTGTGCAGCTACAATATAAGAGCCGTGTGTGTTATTTGGGTTTGCATCCTCATTTACGTTGCTGTAGAATCCTTTGTAACTGTCTGTAGGTGGCAGCAAATCGTGGGGTTAACAACCACCATGTGACCTGTCCGTGCCCACAGAGTGACGATTTCTGTTCGTTATTCTGCTTCCCCTTTCTCTGGACAGAAAGTGCAGCCTCCCGTCAACCAGACCGAGCGCAGCCTGGCTCAGAGAGGGGCACAACGCCATTGCTAAGGCAATCCCTTAGCGAAGTGAGCTCCCACGGCCCACTAAAAGCAGGCGACTTGGCCCGGGCACAGCCGACTTGGCTGCAAAGGCTGCCGCGGATTCCTGTACTCGGCCGACTTGCCCGGTTCGTAAACCGGGCCAGCCTAATTTTCAAGAGGTGGTGGTGGGGACGAGACATCAGTGCTCCAGACACAGAGCGCGAATTAATTAATTTACCGACAGATACAACCAGTCAAATAGGCAGTAGCCTGCTGCGTTCCAGTCAGAATGGCCTCACACGCAACAGCAGCCTGAAGCTAAGCACACGACTAACAACATATCTATTTTCTTTGGTTCTTTCGGTAAAGTCACGTAGAATGAGAATAAAAGAAAAAATAAATAAAATAACACAATAAAATTCTCACGACGTTTCGGCCACAACACAATAAAATTCTCACGATGTTTCGGCCACAACACAAGTGGCCGAAACGTCGTGAGAATTTTATTGTGTTATTTTATTTTATTAATTTATTATTTTATTCTCATTCTACGTGACTTTACCGAAAGAACCAAAGAAGATGAATCCTTGCAGTCACGAAAGCTTTAAATCGAAACATATCTATTACGTTCGCGAGGCTCTTCATTTTTCACAGCGGGTCTTTCACAAACCTCGCGCTATCCAGTGGGTGCACGGTGACAAAAATTGTTCGTAACTTCAAAGATAGATGCGTAGCACATCCCAGCCGTGCACGTCGTCAGCCCTGCGCTGACGGGACTGCGTGCGCCCCACGGCTAACACGCACAGAGCACGCAGAGAGCACGGTGAACCGACGTGCTCAGGCAAGCCCAGTGCCGATTACACAAGAAAAAGATCCCGTGTGTAGCCTTCAACAGGCTGCCGGCGGGCAAATACTGTTGGTGAACACCTATCAAGGCACAAGAGGAGGTGGGTGAACATTTGAGGTGGGTGACCATTTGAGGATGAGTCGACCTAGGCGAGGTCCAGGACTTGTTCAGATATCCGTCACTGATGTTAGCCGTGAACGGGAACTGAACTCTGGTGGCTAGGTCAGTCGCGCAGTGCGCTCACCGCTACACTAATGCCCCCCGCCGCCGATTACACACACACAGACCGCCCTCTGTGGAGTCAGCTGCAGATTACTTCGTCACCTGCAATTACACACCAATGACTCGCTCAACATAGAGAGGGGGAGTCCTACTGTATCTCAGGGAAATCTTTAATTCGAAGTGCGGTGGTTTTGGGGGTCAGCGAAACCGGCCAGCGGGTGGGACGAGATTGCGTGGCTGCAAGGGGCGGCGAGGCCGTTCCTCGTTGTGGGGCAGCAGCAGCAACAACAGCGGCGGGGCAATGGGAACCCGCTTGGCGAGACGAGCGGGTTCGAGCCCTGGGCGAGGGAGGGGGGGGGGCACCACGCAACACTTCAAACGCGCCTCATTCCTGCAGCGAGTGGCGTCCTCCCCTGCGAGGCATTGGCTCTCTCGCAGGAGCGTACGAGACAGGGAGGGCCGCCACCTCTAAGGTACAGTATCAAAAACAAGGACATAACATGGCAAGAAAAATCTCTTACGATACCGGAATACGTGGGAACGAACGGCTTGTAAATCTGCGGTTCTCAACCGTTCACACGGTCGACATCACGGGTCGGTCATGCGCCCCCCGGAAAGTCTTTCAGTGGGGGTCACAGGCTGCAGGCATGGATAACAACGTTCATGAGAAATGTAAAATGTGCACGGGGAACATCTGCACAATGTTGCGGCGACAGAAGACACCAACACATGACCTGAAACGTGCCTTAGTAGCACCGCGTTGGACATGCGAACTCTGTGGATTGGGGCCCGACGGAGGGCAGGTCACGCGGGGACCAGTGGCGTTGACTGGGGGGCGCCGCTCCGCCAACAAGCATGTAAACGCATTGTGTGGAGTCGGGTGTTGTAATGCGAACCACACAACGGATATTTCAAGTTTCAGGATGACTTACTGAATTCCCAGGATGATCCTGGGAACACAAAGATAGGTAGCAACCCTAGTGGGTGGAGGCATGTGCCACTGGATGTCGCCCTTCTCGCAGCCTGCTCCACTGAGATAACACCAAACGTCGGTGCAAATGAGGGGTGTCGTGCAACTTTCATTCGTTGATTGATGTCGCGGAATATTTTTTTTTCATTTCGTGCATTTTGTATGCAATGGCTTCATGTCCACCACCGCCAGCCACATTCACCACAATGTGAAAAAAATAATCAATTCTTGAATCGAATTGTGACCCTGAATCATCACAATTGATCAACTGTCCAGGGGCAGAGCGAGGGCGATTTGTCACAACCCACGAGAGCAGACAATGCAAATATTTTACCCACAGCGCACCATCGCTAATCGAACGTTCTGACACGGGCCCGGGGAAACCTCACGTCTCGGAGAGCTCTGC